GTTTTTCCTCTGTGTCTCTGAGACTACTTCTGTTTAAATTTCTCATTTATTCAGTTTTTTAGAATCCACATATAAGTGAGATCATATGGTATTTGTCTTTCCCTGACTGACTTATTTCACTTAGCATAATGTTCTCTAGTTCCATCCATATTGTTGCAAATGGTACTATTTCCTTCTTCTTTATAGCTGAGTAATACTCCATTGTATAAATGTACCATAGTTTCTTAATCCAGTCGTCTACTGATGGGCATTTCGGTTGTTTCCAAGTCTTAGCTATTGTGAGTAGCACAGCAATGAACATAGGGGTGCATATATTTTTTCGAATTAATGTCTTGGGTTTTTCTGGATAAATACCTAAGAGTGGAATTGCTGGGTCATAAGGTAGTTCCATTTCCAGTTTTTTGAGATACGTCCATACTGACTTCCATAGTGGCTGCACTAGTCTGCAGTCCCACCAACGGTGCACCAGGGTTCCCTTTTCCCCACAGCCTCGCCAGCACTTGTTGTTTGTTGATTTATTGATGATAGCCATTCTGACCGGGGTGAGGTGGTATCTCATTGTGGTTTTATTTGCATTTCCCTAATACTTAGTGAGGTTGAACATTTTTTCATATACCTGTTGGCCATCTGTATGTCCTCTTTAGAGAAATGTCTCTTCATATCCTCTGCCCATTTTTTAATTGCCAGTCCCTCTTCTTTAAATAACCAATTTTCCTCCTGAGAGAAGACCCCAAAACTCTGTTAGCACTCATCGTGGAAGACAATGTTGTTCTGTTGACATTAGAAGAAAACCCCATGATCTTTTCAGGAGTGAGGACTTTGTATCCTAAGGACTAGCTAGAGACCTTCCCAGGCGTTTTCTTTCTCAACAACTTCATCCAAGTCTCTTCCGGCCATTTATTAGTTAAAAGAAAGACTGATGGGCATCATTCATGATGTTTTCTTTTTTTTTTCTGTTTCCTGAATATCTATGCTTTCTTAAATTATCAACTTTATGAGGTATAAATTATAGACAATAAAATGCACTCATTTAAAGTATATATAGAGTTAGTGAGTTTTGACAAATATACACATCTGGGTCACTATCACCACAACCAAGGTATCAAATTTTCCATCACCACAAAAGTTTCTCTTGTGCCCCTTTGGGGTCAGTTCCCACCACCACAACCCCCACTGGCCTCATTTCCATCACTATAGATAAGTGCTGCTAGTTCTAGAGCTTCATAGAGATTCAGCATGAACTCTTTTGTTTGAGGCTCCTTTCACTCAGCATAATGGTTTTGATACTCATCCATAGGATTGTGTGTATCTACAGTGTGTTCCTTTTCATTACATGAATAAACTACAAGTTTGTTTATCCATTAACCTGTTGATTGACACTTGAATTATTTCTAACTTTTGGTGCTCTGAATAGAACTGCCAAGGACATCTGTATACAGATCTCTTATAGACATATTTTCATTTCTCTTAGGTAACTATAAGTGGAATTGCAGAGTGAGTAGATGTTTTCTTTTCTAAAAATTAAAACAATAAAAATATGCCGTTGTCTTAACAGAGTTCAAATCACCTTATTTCCACTTGTACATTTAAAAGGAAGGGATGACACCATAAGTGAGAGAGCAGCCCCCAACTAGAGAAGGCATGTGGACATCCTATGGGCAAGCAGAATGGGACACCATGGGTCAGAGCTTTGTCTGAGCACAGAGAAGAGCTCAGGACTTGCTCAAGGAGTGGCTGAAAGGGAAATTAAAGGTGATGGCTGGTCAAGCTGTGGGCCAGCAGCCAAGGCCTAATTCAGTGCAGCCTCCAACTGTGAATGGCTGGGTTGAGAGCTATGCTCTGAGTGGGGATAGGGCCTACAAGTCTCAGGCTATTCCAGCTTTATAAGAAATGCTCTTTATTTTTATTTATTTTTTTTTAAGAAATGCTATTCTGAAACTGAACTGTGAGTTGCTGAGATAAGGCTAGAGTGCTAGAGTGCAATGAAGTGCCTGGTAAAAATTAATAATGTGCAAGAAATCATCAGCATTACATATAAGTATTTAAATGGGGATAATTTCTTTAATTTTCCAGTTGTGCTTTCTCATTTGATTATAGTGCTTATCCATGACTCTGGCTAGATTAAATCAGCTATAGTCAACTAAACGCATTACAAATGTAAATCGTGTCTTCCCCTATCTTCTTTCTCTGCAACTAACTCCTTACATCCCAGAGGGAATTTTCCAATTCAATATCAAAGACTAATTAAATACTTGGTATAGGAGCTTTAACAAAAATGACTGTGTAACTTTATTTTACATATACATGCTAGATAAAAAAATAAATAGAAACCTCCTCTGGATGCTAAAAGTTTGGAATCAAGTCTTCTAAAAGGAAAAGAGAATGGGAAAAACATTCCCAAAAAAAACATTTCATGGTTCATCAACAAACTCAAGTCTCATGTCTCAGAATTTCATGATTAAGCTATTCGATCACTAATCATCTGGTAGTGGCCTACCATTCTTCTCATCAATCATCAACTACTCAATCATCAACCCGAAGGTTACATGTTCATAGTTCTAAGTCTCCCTTTTCAATTTAATATTTAAGAAAGAACAGAATTCAGAAAATACACATTTACAGAGAGGAATACATAAGGGAAATGTGTAAAGTACTTTACAAGGCTTTTGGCCTAACTAAAAGTACTATGCATTTTGGATCTTACAGCTCATTATGGACATCTAAGAAGTATTTCCTTAATGCTCATGCTATAACATAGTCAAAGGAGTAGATTTCACCATTGCCGGTTTGGCTAGTACATCAACACACAGTCTACCCTACTGAAACCTCCATGCAAAAGGCAAACGGCAAGGTAAGGAGGACACCAGCTGGAGTCTCTTGGTAACAGCTGGAACCTGGGAAGGGCTAGCTTAGGAGTAATTTGGCTACTACAGTTCACAATAATTAGCAAAGAGACACACAAAAAATCTCTGCCTTTGGAAAGTCCAATTCACTTGACTTCACGCACTTGTCTGTTTCTTGCAAATCTATTGCTCTTACCCACTACCTCTCAATACATATACTTTGATGGAAACAGAAAGGGTGATGTACTAGAAAGCCGAAGTTTTAGTCCTTGGGCAAATTACTTAATGTCTTTGGCTCTCATCTATAAAAGGAGTAATAAGCACTTTTCCTACTTGAAACCGAGAGGCTGGGCCCAAACTCGTTGATCCTAGACCACCCATTCAGCATCGGTCCTGAGGCTTCCCCCTTCGTAGGTGGCGATGGCTCTGCCCTCCCTCAGAGCACAGGCAGTCCCTATTGGATGCTGCCCAATGGCCTAAGTCTCAGGAAAGAAAGGCCTGTGGGATAGTCTATGCTTCCAAATTCTGCTTGTGGAAAATAACAAATAATATATAAGAGTCTAAGATAGAAGTCCATCTGACATACACAATCGTCAATGACATCGGTTACCAGATGGCTTCCACAACAGCATTTTAAAAGTTGTCAAATGAGAACCTAGAGAGCCTCAGGTGCTGGTCTCCTTACAGCTGAAGGAGGCGGCACAAGCTCTAACAGCTCCATCGGGAAGACATCGAATGCAAACCTGGGCTGAGATGACCAGCCCATCCAAGTTTCACTCCCTTCATTCTCAGTTTGAGAAAAGGACTCAACTACTGCCACAGAGAGTTGTGACACCACTGTGCAGCCAGACCTGTACACCACTGTACCTCACAGACCTCCGACTACAAGGAGCTTAACTGGCCAAGGGCCCAGCTACTGTGCCCCAAAATCCATGCCTACATTATCTCAGAGGCTACTACACCTCCCCATGGGCCGCTGCCAGAGTGCAGCAGGATTACCGAACCAGGCCTCTGACGGCTGACTTGACTAATGGACTCCCTGATGTGTTGGCTGCCTTTATCTACCTAAGCAGACTAGTACACAACCACTGAACCGCCTCTCTCTTCACTTGAAATAAGACTTGAATCGTGGTCTGATGGTTCTCTCAGCCTTTTCCAGCTCCTTTCCTATTTCCTTTCATGCAGACATTTCCCCTAATAATATCTTTGCACTTTTAGTCCCATCTTGGCATCTGTTTCTCAGATGTCCAGCCTGGCACAGCCTTCATTCATTCAATCATCCATTCATTCATCCATCCATTCATCCATCCATCCATCCATCCATCCATCCATCCATCCATCCATCCACCCACCCAAGAAATATTTGTTGAGTGTCTACAATGTCCTGGCACTGTGTCCTAGGCACTAGGGAGAATGGTACAAGATTGAGAAGATGTCTACTTTCCTACCCCTCCCTTCAGAGTCACATACTGCTCCCCTTTCTTTGGCTCGTACTGTGTACTAGGCACTGAGCTAAGAGCACATCACATGTCTTGTCTTGGTTTTTCCCAGCAACCCTTAAAGGAGGTATTATTCTTGTTTCATGGATAAGGAAACTGAGACCCAGAGAGAGTAAGTTGCCAGGGGTTTCCTTGGCAGCCAACTTTTTTTTACTCCAAAACTCATGTTTTCAACATTAGGCTATGACATGTCCTCCCGATTTGGGTGATAGCTCTGAGTACATTTTTTTCTGCCAATGACTGCACATTCAAATAGTTGATTTTCCAAAGCCTGACTTCAGTTTTCACTTTAAATTTATGAGGGCCAGGAAACCACTTACAGAAGAGAGAAGCAGTGCTTCAGGGCATTCATAGTCCCTCACTGTCCCAAAAGTCAGGTTAATGACAGGATATTTTAACCCACGCAGAAGAGGTCCCTTGCCTGGTGTGAGCTTCTAACTCATCTTCACTATTACAAAGAAGATAGGAGAGGACAGACAAACCCCTTGGCTTCTCTGCTTTTCATCCTGGTCATAGCCCAGCTCTGACAAACTGATCAAAGGGGATCATATACATCCAGGGCTTCTCTCAGAGGCCAGCCAGGCCTCCTGCAGGGCCAACCACACCAGCCCATGTGTCAACTGAAAGCACCCTTCTGATTACTGACGCAAACTCATACCATGATCTCCAAGGTCAGCTAGGGTGTCCTCTACTCTTGACTCAAGCATGCCGAAGTTCAAGGAAGGAATGGGCTGAGATTCAGGCAGGTTCTCTGAAGTTGGGTCATCAAATTCCTTGTGGAAGATAATGAATGATTCATGAGACACTGGTAAAAGGAGACGGTGCTACCACAAATGAAACGATATTCTTGAGAAGACTATTTGGAAACAAAAGCCTGCCTAATCCTCTCCTTAAATATGACATTTCAGATTTTAATAAGGCAGCTTGGGATAAGAGAAACAGCCTTGAATCAAGTCAACATGTGACCTTGGGCAAAGCATTCCATCTCCCATAGCCTCAAGTCTCGAGCCATGACTAGGGTGAGGCAAGCTGAATGCCCAGTGTACAAAACTGAAGGAGACACTGCCATTCAGGCTCAAACAGGAGCGGGATCGGTCGGCAGCTGAGAACAAGTACCTCCTTCAATTCTGTACTCAGGGTGCCACACTTAGCTCACCCTAGTCCAGCCCTGCTCAGTTTCCTCATCTCAAAATTACAGGTATTGGTTTGGATGACTTCCAAGTTGTCTTCCAACTTTAAAAGTTCTGTGATTCTGTGAATTCCAATTTCCTAAAAGAAAGTGATCTAAGAGGCCATATGAAAGAATTCAAAACTTCAAAAAAAAGACAAATTTCTCAAACATATTAATACATTACTTCAATAAATGATTTTGCCTTTTTTTCCACGTGTGTACAATCTACAGCAAATGATGAATTGGCCTATTTTCCTTGATAAATACACTTCATGGAGAACTACTCCAAGAGTGACTTCTTATTAAAAACAGAAAGGAGAGTTCAAACTAATCTTAATAAGTAAAACAAAGCCGTGACACACGGTGATGTAGTATTTGTGAAAATACAGTCAAAATATTTTTCAGAAGTCCATTTGTTGTACTGTATAACAATTGTTGCATGAGGTGAACTGATTTCAAATTTCAAAGGATCAGTGATAGCACACAGAGAACTTTAAGAACAAAGAACAGAGGCTGTTTGAAATGTGTTTTTACGTGTACTTCAGAAATTATTTGAAAATAAGTATTTGGACTCTCAGTTGACTTTGATTTGCTGAATTTCTCTTTGAAGAGATAGAATTGTCATAATTGCTTCTCTTGGAAAGGGAAGGACTTGATCTCATCTTTGATCTGCGTTACTATTTCATGTATGGAGACTTGACCTGCTATGCACTTTTCACAGAAACCCAATTTTGACACCTTCACAAGTGCATACACCATAGAATAAAAAAAAAGACTGGGCTTATTGTGTGTATGATGGTATCTAGTTGTTTTTAAGCTACCATCCTTTGAAGAAAGAGTACCTAACATGATTCTACATTCAACTATGCTTCCAGATTTCAAAGTCCAAATTCAGCCAAGCAGAAAATGTCTGCTAAAATAAAAAGCCCTGATATTTTAGGGTCTGAAAAAAACAAAACAAGCCACTCTCCTAAATACCTCAAGGAATTTTTATAACATGTTTAAGACGTGACATAGCTAGCCCATTCTCTCCCTTAACTCTGATTCTATCTCCTACAATTGCTTTTGAAATATCAAGTGGTTTGCTACAGCTGGCAAGAGAGCAGGAAGAAGGAATAGAGAATAGAGCTCCAATGAGATTAGGAAGAAATGAAATCATAAATATGTGTATGGGCAAAGACAGGAACGTTTTCCTTTTCCCTTTCTCCTTCTTTATCACATTTTTCTTTATCCTCTTGCAATTGATTAATTCAGCTTCTTTCTTATATTTTATTTCATCTTTTTCAGCTCAATAACTTTCCTTGAGTGTTTAAACCCTTCAATATCTCTGCCAAGTGTTTGGCTTCCCGTTTTCGCTCTCCTTTGTTCTCTGAATATCATTTAGCCTGCTTCTCTATTGTGCGTGTGAATATGATTAAACTTGCCCCCTCTGCCTGGCCTCCTCTCTTTATTCCCCTCCTGGGGCGAACAAGAAAGCCTTCCCTCAGGTCCCTCCTCCTTTTCTTCCATTCCCATTAAATGCTTTCTTTCCTAAAGATATTATAAGAAGGTCTATTCATTGGTGGCTTTTCCAAGTCTTCCTTTATCTGAAGGTGAGCTACTGCCTTCAAGAGCCTCAGTTTCTGTCCATTATGAACAGTAATGGTTGGTCCTGAACCAGCGGCATCGGAATCACCAGGAAGCTCCTTAGGAATGCAGCCTCCCAGGCCCCATCCCAGGCCAACCTAATCAGAATCGACATTTCAGCAAGACCAACAGGTGATACAGGTGCATTTTGAAGTTTGAGAAGGTTTGTTATAAGCCCTAAGAATTTGGAGGAGGGTCAATCAATTGTGGACCTGAGAGGTCAAAGGTTTTCCTGAAGAGGAGCTGACATTTGAAAGAGAAGGTGGGATGCTACCGAAGGGCCAGAGGGAAATGGTTGATGTAATTGCACAAAAGAGGGCAAGAGACCTGGCGGTGCTAAGCAACCCTGTCTGCAGAACTCAACCAGCTAGAAGAGGAATTATCTTGAAGAGCAAAGTATCTGCCTGGAGCATTTCCTGCCCCCATCAACATGCAAGCTTAAGAAACATGCATCTGGAAAATTCAGGGCCAAAGATGTTGGCGAGACTAATTCTTAGAAGATCAAAGAATGAACCAATATCTCTGGCCAAGACAGCATCAGGCACTTCACTTCCTGCTCCCTTTGGTCCTTGCTGATGGAAAGGGGATGGAATTGGGAAGAACTAGGTAGACACTGTGGAAATTATAAGCAGGGACTTCATAAAATCTTTGTGAAGTCCCCTTTGTCTAAGTTGGGCTAAGATCTAGACTCATGTCTGGCTCCCATGTTCTGTGGAATAATGTACAGCTAGCAAAATCACGTGAGATTCTGCCTGCATGTGGTCTCAGTCTTACGTTCCTTAAAGATCCCTATCATGTAATTAACACTGATAATAATCATATCAGAAATGAAAAAACACAAAAATTATTGTTATGAAGGGCCCATGAAGAAAAGCAAACAAGTTAAGTAAATTATCAGACACTAAAATGTAAGATCATACTTGAAACTACATTTTAATTTGCCATATGATAATTTCATGAATAAAGAAAGTTATTTAGGTTATTTCTTAATTGGAGTAACATTGCTTAATGACATTATATAATTTTCAGGTGTACAAGATTATAATTCAACATCTGTGTACTCTAAAAATATTACTAAATCTGTACTGCTTAATTTCCAATCTTAGCAGATAAAATCTCAGGTGTCCCTAAATGTTCCAGAGAAAAAAAGAGTCCTAGTTTCTATCAGTAGGTTAAACAAGTAGTTGACATATATTAACAAACACAGAATTCTCTCGTCAGACTTCTTGGGAGCATCTCAGTCCTGTGGAGAAGAAAGCTGACAGACCTGAGGAAGACAACCCACCTCCACAAGTTATCATTTCCAGGCCTAGAAAGTATCTGGGAACCTGAAGAAAGGCCCTCAGTGTAGAAGGCCATCAAATGGTGGCATCAAGACCCTTCTCTGAGTAGGGATCTGACAGTACTGCTGACACCATGCCCTTTCAGCCAACAGTTCTCCATTTGCCAGGTTCCATGAGCAGGAACAATCCCATCTCCCATGTCTCTGGGGCTCACAAGAGACCCCACAGCTGGCTTCACTTAACAGAATGGGAGATGGGTGGAGAAGAGATGGGGTTGAGCGCATGTCACCAACATCCCCACATTGTCTGCTAAAGAGTCCAATAGAGACAGACACTTAAGGTCAGAGAAGGCTGGGCCCCCCTTTCTGGTCCAACTTTGGATTTTCAGAACTCTAATTCACTCACAACCACTAAATAATTGAGAAAGGTGAATAACCTCTCAGAGCTGGGCAGAAAACAAGTGTTCCTAGTCTGTGCCTGTCTTAAAGTGAGGGCAGCTGGGGGCTCCTACATGCCCCAGGGTTTGGAGCCCTCTGATTACTGACGGCAGAATGAGCATCCTGGGACTTCAGGAATCATTCTCAGAGCCTCAGGGAGCTTGATTCTTCCTGCTAAAGAAATCTCCCTCAGATGCAGGAATCTCCAATGAACGAACCAACAGAATTTGAAGAAGTAAAGTTCTTCATAAAAATGATTCCTTTTTATCAGAAGAGCTAGGAGTTGTGTTGATGTCTATTGTGCAAATATGACCGTAAAGAAAGACTACATTAAGTATCAGAGCCTACATACACCAATGCCTATGGAGATACTTTTAACCACTAAAGAAAACAGTATTCACCATCCAGAGGCTTGGGATGCAGAGGACATGAATTTGGGGTAAATGTTATATGAATCTGCAACTCTATTTATTATCGGACATCTATGGTAATTCTTCAAAGTTTGAATGAGATTATTAACACAAGACATGATATGGATAGAAGACAAAATAAAAAGGGAAAGAATTAAAAAATAATTCAGAAAGAGAACGATGGACTAAAGAGATAAAGCAACAATAGCATAACTGAAATTCAAAATTAGATATACACACATTTATTCTGCAAAGTCATTATTTTAACACATCAACTGTTCATTCAGCACAGATTAAGTTATCTTGTGCACAGTAGGCATTTGATACTTGTTGGATGGATCAATTGATCCATCTCTAAGTACACCTGCTTTGAGTTAGTGTAGTTATTAACTGTTGTCCTACATTCTAAAATGAACCCCAGTACCTCCTCCTGGAACTGGGCAAAGTTGGTCTGGATGCTTTTAATTTTCTACCTTGTCCCTTTTCCTACCTAACTGGCCCCATGAATCTGAAAAATCGGAAGAGAAGGTTTTATGGAACCTTTAAAATAAGAATACTTACACGAAGTACGTCAACCGTTAGCTGCTGAAAGTTCCGAGATCTCAATTCTTGCATTCGTTTGTTATTTTCTTCATATTTTTCTTCCACAAGCTTTCTGCAAATTTAAAGCAAACGTAGAAAAACAGCTGCAATTTGCTAAAACCACATCTATATTACACAGGTAAGTGTGATATCTGTTTCCACAGGCCAACCCAGGTGTTGGGAAGGCAGGCCAACAGGACTTTCTCCCAGGACGATGTGTGTACAGTGCAGCACCCACTTGATTCTCTTTTAAAGCACCCACAAGGATGCTCTGGCTCCTGATTCATCCTTAGAGCTCCTACAGCACAGCAGAAGACAGTACTGATCCCTGTGTGTCCTCTGATTGTGTCACAGGAATGTGTGTCCCTGATGCCCAGCACAGGGCCAAGCAGGTACTAATAACTCAATCGCTGTGTTCAGATGAAACAAACGCATACACAGGAACACAGGGCTACATTTCAAAGAATTTATGAAAAGGAATATGAGACCCACTGTGGAATGAACTTTTCTCAGACATATTTTCTTTGTTTCCTCGACTACAGGAGAGTTGAATTTAATAGACTTGCTACTAAACTAGAAGAAAGATTGGAGTTCTGGTGATTACTTGTGTGCTAACTTATACTTAGATTTTTTGGAAAAGTCACCAAACATCCTTGTGGTCAAATTTTCTTTTCTATAAAATGTATACATTATAACTCTTCTGACAACAGTCATTTTCTAGCTGAAACACGTGACCACTCTTGAATCCTAGAAACAACAATCAAAAACAATTCAGATGCAAGTCATTCATTGAATCAAGACCAAACTTAATCTAAATAAGAAAAACATTAACTATCATGTAGAAGATCTATGACTCTCTTTTGTGCATAAAAAAGTTTTAATCTGAAAGTAATGTGGATGTAAGTAATTAAATAGCCCCTTTCATCTGTTCCTGTCAGAGATATAATTTTCCTTTTACCCTCAGCCAATGACATGAATCATGATAACCTGAAAATATTGCCATTTCTGGGGTGTCAGAAACAGATTTGGGACTGTGAGTTGACACACTGGCTCAAACAATTTACATGAATGTATTTTCTCCGTAAAACCCACACTCAGTGGTTTGCAGAAACCAACTTGTACGGGACTCCCGAGATCAGACTGCGTGCATATCTTCCCAGCTGAACAGTCGGTGATATCACATTGGTAGCTTGAAATTGGCCATCGTGTTGGTATTTACACCACAGAAATCTGCAGACAAATCAGTAGCCACTCCCCACCCAGCCTTCACCTCACAACCCCAGAGGTGGCTGCTAACCATTACAGCCCACTATGGCCCACGAGCACTTTGAGGGAACCTTTTCCCACGTTTATTAATTTAAAGAAAGAATATCTTAAGGGAAAACAATCTCACAGATTCTCACCTGGTTCATCATGATATTCATTGTAAGAACTTTGACACCTCTAAGTCATTTTTCATCTATGTTAACAAGGTCACAAAATGAATAGATTTGAATTTCAGGTCTTTCCTGCCTCACTAGCTCTTGGTTGGGGAGACTAAGCTACCAAACAAAATTGGCAGAGGAAGAAAGAAGAAGGAAAATTAGGAAATTGGATGATCTACAACTGCAGAATCAGTCTTTGAGAAATTGGGATTCTGGGGCTCTGGAATTCCCCTTTTTCATGTAAATACCCTCACTTCTAGCGCTATTGCCCACCAGCAGCACTGGCCTGAGCACAGACTTTTCAAAGGGCTTCACTCCACAGAACAAAGCTGTTTCCAAACCAACAATTTCCTGCCAGTCCATCTTTCTCCCTATAGATCAGCTAGGTCTCTCCGCAGAGGGGACACAGCAAACATCCAGAGAATGAAGGCTGGACACTGAAGTCACCTTTTCACCCTCTCACTGGGGAATGTACAGAAGGCGACAGCAGCAGTGAGGCTTCATTCGGACGCCTGATGGTATTTTTATCACTGGCAACCTCCCTGATACGCAATCTTTCTTCCCACACAAGAATGAAAGCCTAACATTAATAATGCCCAGCATCCAATAACCATCTATGGCTCCAGAACCATCTTTTGAGGGAAGGAGTGAAGAAATGAACAGATGTATGTGGAATGGGTACGTGCATTTTGATGTCTTGTTTTGGTGTTGCTTTTCTTCCATGAATTCCTTTAGAGCCCGGGGAGCTGGCCCGTGGTACCCTAAGGAAGAGGCCGCTTACTTCAGCTTCCTGGCTTTCTCGTCAGCTGCCTGGAGCTTTCGGAGCCGCATCCTTTCTCTCGGCGTCATTCTCTGCACTTCAGAGAGAGCCCGCAGAGTCTGTAGGTGGATCTTTTTTTGTCTAGAGAAAACAAAGATTCCCCACACAGCACACATCCCAAACACGCTCGGAAAAATGAAACAGATATTTTACAGAAGCATCATTACCCTACTGAGAAGGGAAAAGCATCTCGAGACGGGCCAGACAAAAACTAATAAAGTCTGGGTAGGTAACGAGCCAACCAGGACTGTGGCTAATTGGCAATATTTTTCAAATTGGATTTTTGTTTAAAAGCAAATTATGTACTTTCCAAATTTCGGCTCATTTCGCTGCCTATGACTGGTTTTTATAATGCAAGACAAATTAGGATCTTGGCCATTAAGAAGTAAATAGACAGGCAGACTAATTCGACCATGTGGATAAAACACCATCTCTGGAAACAGTCAGGGTTTGAATCCCATACCCAGCACTCCTTAGCTCTGTAGCCTCAGGCAAGTAACCAAACTTCTCTGAACTTCAGTCTTCTCATCCGTAAAGAATGGGCTATAGTGAGTATTATATGAGATAATGTATGTACAATGTCTGACACATAAAAAGTATCCAAAATGATAGCATTATAATAGCTAAATTCTACTGAATATGTTTTCTAGGCTAGGCTTAAAACAGTAGGCATTTTCACGGCAGCATGGCATGATGGTTAATCACACAGGTTAATATTCTCTAGGTTCAAATCCTGCATGCCCTTAGGCAAGTTACTTAACGTCTTTATGATCATTGAAAAAATAGTAGTAAGACTACCTACTTCATAGGGTTATAGTGAGTTTAAATGAGTTAACTCATGTAAATTGGTCATAACGGAGCCAAGCAGATGGTCACTCCCCCCAAAATGTTGGCCAATATTATTAAGAGCCCCTTTCTTTAGTTAAAGAAATGTGCTTACATTAATCATGTATTAAAAGTTCTGTAACCACATTCTCAATGACATTTGTCTCTGTGCCTGGCTTGGTTGGGGCCCGATATTACAGGACACAGTGAGAGATATTATGAGAAAATCGTAATGATTGTTGTGGGCGGTTCTTGTCCCTCTAGAACACCATCCAGACCGTAGCCTCCAGGGGACATGTAATTTTCAGGAATACACATCCCTTATTTTGTAAGACCAAACGGATCTCTTAAAACATACTCATAGATCTTGAAAATAACAGTGATGATTTGAAATCAATATTTCATAATGTGAAATGCCATGCAAACAACTGGATTCTAGCACGCTTTAATTGTAAGCAGCGTCAGGCTAACTACATCATAACTGCAGTGCAAAATGATAACTAAAATTAGTCCAGTATTTTAAAAAATAAGTTATCTGCTACTCTCACATCTCTAGTTAATAAAACAAAATGAAATTAGAAGTTTAAGGCTTTCTTGAAAGAACAAGGTTCTAGGGGTGTGCCTATGTGTCCCCCTGAGATGTGGTCTATTTTAATTGGAGACCATGCATTAAACAAAGACTATCTTTGATGGGCCAGTTTCCTGTTTGAATGTGAGGATGAAAACAAACATGGTGTAGTTCAGGAACTACTGGATTAGGTGTTAGAGAAGTATTATTTGTGCTATTTCGCCTTGATGATCAGGCTAATGAGGGCTACTGTTCTCCCTCACTATATTGCACAGCTCTGGGCAGGGACTGCTATTCTTACAAAATTAAATAGAGTTCCTTCAAAAAAATAATGCTTACTTACAAAATTAAATAGAGTTCTTACTCACAAATTTAAATAGAGTTCCTTCAGAAAAATAATAGATTTGGTCTTTATAAGTGGTGCCCCCTGGAGTTGTGCAGTGCACAGCCTGCACAGCTGTACATGGCTGTTTTGAAGTAACCTAGTATTCTGGGTTCTTGTAAGTTACAGCATAGACAGTTTGATGAGGTAGGAGAGATAAGTTAGGCCAATGAAATAATTATGGTTCTTTTGAAACACACATTCTCTGGTTCTTCCGCATATCTTAAGAAAGTGAATTTTGGCTTATTTTCAATTGTCCCAGGACTCCATAATGTTGTCTTTTAAATAGATACTCTGCTAGTTCCTGTTAAACAATCAACATGGGAAAGCCTTTTATGCTTAATAGGGAAGGTGCATTAGCACATAGATCACTAAATGTTTGAGGTATTAATTTCTTTATTTACTTACAAGGCAACTGCAGAACTGCCCTGCAGATCTGTCAGCTGTGCAGTGGTTTAAACTTTTATGATATCAATTTGCTGCCACCTGAGGTTAAGGGCTTGAGAACACCAAGTTACTGAAGCGCCTGAATTTCTTGGCAAGACTTAAGTGAATTCTAGAACACTTCATGTAGTCAGTCAGCTTAGCACTAATAGATTTTTAAAGACAAATGCATTTAATATTTATGCTCAATAGACTTTTTAAAAACAAAGCAATTACTTACATGGCATCAGTTATGTGAGCAGCCTCCTTCTGACAATTCAAATTCTTGTCTTCTGGAATCATTTCAGAATATCTACACCTCAGAAGCTGATTAAAGAAAAGAGAGAGAGAGAGAGAGAGAGAGACCTTGACACACTTTAAAGACTCTTTTTCAGGGATAGAAGGGCATAAAACTACCAGGTGCCTTTTTTGACTTGCAATATTATTCACCATTTCTGGGAGCTTGAAAGCAAAACCCACTGGTAGCTATTTTTCCTCTTACAAAGGGTTATGAAAAAATTCCATGGTAGCTTATGCAACAAGATCCTGAGAGTCAGGCTGCTGCCTACTTACCTTTCCAAGTTGACCTTGTACTGCCTGCTCTCTCACTGCCTGACACCCAGGCACGGGCAGGCCTTCCCTCAGCTCCAAGCACACACAAGCTCTCTCTTCCTCTGAGTTTGCAGTGGACAATGTCCACACAACCAGGGCCGGGACTAGGCTGAGTTGAGTGAGGCACTCATTTCAGACACAAAATTTAAGGGGTGCCAAAAAACTCAGTAATTCAGATACATATTACTTTAATGCAACATTATTAAAAAATCGAAATTAATGCCCAAATGCCATGGAGAACACAACATCAAACGTTGAAATAAAGACAAGATCCCATTCTGAATTTGCACCATGCTACCTCATTTGCCTCACCCTGTCCCTAGCCCTACTGGATACAATCTTTGAACTTTTGATACTTTGTTACCATGGATTTTGAGCATTAAATTGGATCTGTAAAATATTATTTATCCTGACTACTGAGTGCTGGTGTCCCCTTTAATCTTGCCCCAGGACAAATGCCTCACTTACCTTGCTTTAGTCCCAGCAGATCCCCTTGGATCCCTTTTACTGTTTTTTGGCCTGCTCACAGACCCTTCTGGGTGGTTTTGATACAACAGACTCTTTTGAAGTGGACCGCCCTCAGACTAGAGCCCTCAGCTGGCTCTGCCTGTGCACAGGGAGAGCTGGAAGCACCAGGGAGCCTCACTACCTCCCCCTACTGTCCTGCTTACCCCACTTCCTACCTTCCAAGGGTTTCCCTTGGAAGCTCAGTCTTGCCGAAGAACCCTGTCCTCTATGTCTCCCTCCAAGGACCTAAAATCCAGGGCTTTACACCAGCTTCTCCCTGTGATTCCAACACTCTTTCTCAGGCTCTTTACAGGACTGGCTGCTTCTCACCATCTCACTGGTGTCAAAATGTCACCTTCTTCTTTGACCGGCAAATCCTCTTCCCCTGCCCTATTTTACTTTACTTATTTTACATCCTATTGGCTTTCTTCCTAGTGCTCGTGAGAATTTATCGTTATTTTATTTACTTTTTCTTGGTGTTGGATTCCCTTACTAGCAGTCAATCTTCCAAAGGACAGGAGCCATATCTGTTCCTTTCATTTCTGCGCCCCCAGCGTCAGCACAGTGTCGGGCACTCAGTGCGCTGAGTCAGCATCCTGTCTCCTGTGGATTTAGAACTGGACGCTGATGAAAAAGTGGGCACATTGATGAAGATGAATGACTGCTTTGTGGGTCCTCTTAAAGCTATTCATAAAACTAAAGAAAATTTGCCTGAGGGATCTGTATTGTAAAAGCCTAAGAAGTAAAAAAAACCAAACAAACAAACAAAAACTCTCCTGAAAGGGTACCATTTGCTTTTTTTTCTTACAACCAGAAGCAAATTCTCTACCTCAAAATTTCTAATTTATAGGAAAACAAAATAAATTCAATCAGTAAAAGTATTATTGGGATATATAATAAAGGAGTAGAACAATAAAGGCTTGAAGAAAATCCCAGATTTTATTAGCAGTAGTAGTACATTCTTGTCCTAGCAGGGACATATCTACAAAGTGTTGATAAGACCTGTAAACCAACAGCGCTGAGGGTGGGGGTTGGGTGTAGGCAAAAAAGTCACAATCCTAATGTCTGGGATACCAGGGAACAGGAATTCACCCACTTTCTTTTGCAAACAGATTGTCCTGACTAATAATGTCTCTCAGCTTTAAAAAAAAAAAAATCCTTGTCTCTCCTTTCTGACTGATTCTTCCTGTACCATATTTCCACCGCATACCTTCAAGTCCTAGAACGCATATAAATGCTAATGTGTGTTTCCCGACACACCTCTCAGTTCAAATACCTGTAGTTGTTCATCAATGTAAGGGATTTTTAAAATTTCTATAGCAGATGGTCTCAGTGAAGGGTTCTTGTTCAACATGCTGTAAAATTAAAAAAGAAAACTATTTTTCAGATGGACAGAAATATAAATACAATTTAAAACTGTTTCTCGGGCAATACATTTATTTCCATACCGTTCCATGATGGCGTTCAGCGCTCTGGGATACCTCTTAGGGAGAGAAGGAGTGTCGCCTTCAACAATTTTTAAAACGATAGACAAGAAATTGGAGCCAGAGAATGCATGATTCATGCAGCACATCTCATATAAAATGCACGCCAGAGACCTGAAGACAAAGCCAGAGAATTTAGATAAAGAACAAATGTCCTCTTTTAAATCTGATCATCATACAAAACTCTAGATTTGTTAGAACATCGGTTATGAGGCACCAACATATAATTCACTTGTTTGTTTGAAAGCCTCAGTTCCATAATGTTCTGTTCCATTTAAAAACATATTTACTTAAAAAAGAGGAAAAAGTGAAAGAAGAAAGCACAAAATGTAAGCCTGAATGACCACTTTTTGTCAAAGGGGAGCAAACAAACCAATAGGAATGTGCCTGCACATAGTAGGGACCTAATAAATATTTGATTGATGTAGTCAGGAATTTTTGAATTAACATCTAAGAAGAAAAAGCAGAATGCAGCTAAATATCATCTTCCTGAGGCAGTTTTGTTTGTTAAATATGCAAAATAAAATTTTAATTTATCAGCCTAATCTTCCTTCTAATGTGTATCCAAGCATTTTGAAAGGGAAAGCATTCTTTATTAGTTTCTGAATAGAATCCATTTGCAAGTAGGGTAGAAGAGCAGCTAGCTACTTGCAGCTCACATTAAAATGTATGATTCTCCCTTCAGGGTTATGAAACAGAATATTAAAATTCTAGATCAGTCTGACACTGGTTTGGACGAGTCATGCAAATCAGTAACTTCAAAACCAGCAGAATAGCCTTTTAAATATTATAACTACGTCATTTAGAAAACGAAGGGGGAAATTCCTGCCTGAACTTAGCACTAAGAATGAACTATACTTCTGAATAATGGGGAACTTTAAATCTTATAGGTATTTTGAACTGTGTGCCAAGCCAGGTCTTTCTTTTCATGTTACTTGCTTGAAATATCAAAATAAGTTTACAGTGGACCTTATGTAAGTTGTGTTTTATATAACTTTTAACACTGTCCTACTTTCTCATAAAAGGCAGGGTATATATAAATAAATACATACAGGAAGTGTATCATTTTAATTATTTTGTGAGTGTTCATGAAAATGTTCACTTGTAAGAGAATTCTGGATGTATACACTGAGAATGCGTCTGTTCCAGTAAATAATAGTAACACTAAACATTTCCAACTGATTGGTACTTTATATATTACAAAGCATATTCATATACATCTCAACAGAGCCTCATAACTTCACAGTGAAATAAAACCAATACTATATTTTTCCCATTTTATACATCAGGAAACTGGCTCAGAAAAGTTAAATGACTTGCCCAATTTCATAAGGCATTCTTCTTTCCAAATTCTGGACTATTTCCATTACAGAATGCTACAAAGAATGGAGATTAGGAGAAATCACATGCTATTGACTAGAACAACAAGGTCAATGTAACCATTACAAATTATGAACATTATTTGAAGCTCAATAAATTTTGCATTCCTCTGTAAGACTGTTAAATGGTATCTGGTATGGTAGCATATATTTACATTTCTATACCAAAAAAATTTCCTTCAATAAAGGTGAAATAAAGACATTTCAAACAAACAAACACTGAGAGAATTCATTGCCAGTGTGACAGCACCAAAAAATATTCTAACGGAAAAAAAAAAAAAAAGATCTGAGACAGAAACAAAGGCTTCCAGAAGGATTGAAGAGCACTAGGAAGAGTAATCCCGTGACTATGTATAAGTCAGTATTAACTCTATAAAACAAACATTACAATATATTGTGGGGTTTAAAAATTACGTAGAATAAAATTCCATGACAAAAATAATACAAATGACGTAAGAGGGTAAATGAAGTTAAAGTATTTCAAGATCCATCCATTACTGGAAAAGTGGTAAAACTGAACTATACGAGGTCAAGGATGCATGTTATAATTGCTAGGGTTATTACCAAAAGAAGAGTAAAATAATGTATAACTGATAAGTGAATAACAAGTTACTAGAGGGTACAAAAATCAAATAAAATTTTAAACCAAAAGCAAGAAAGGAGAGAAAAAGAAACATAAAACAAGTGGTATATACAGAAAGCAAATAATAAGGTGACAAATAAAAATAGAATAATTGTATTAAACAAATGGACAATACTTCAATTACAAAACTATCAGGCTGGGTAAAAAATTATATACTGCTCACAAAACAAACCATAAAATAAGAACACAGAGCAGTTCATAGAAAGTGATATACCATGCAAATACTTATCAAAATATTGCTGGGGTAACTATACTAGTATCAGACAAAGTAGACTTAAAGGCAAGAACCACTAAGATTAAGATGGTGGATTAATAAAGAAATCAAACCACTAAGAACACATAACCAACCATTCTAAAACCCAATAACAGTGTGTGTGTGTGTGTGTGTGTGTGTGTGCGTGCTTGCATGCGCGCGCATGTGTGTATGAAACAAAAATTGACAATTAATAGAAAAAGTAGACAAATTCACAATCACAGTGAAAGATTTTAACATACCTCTTTCAATAGCTGATAGAACAACCAGACCAAAAAAAAAAATCAGTAAGGATAGAGAAAATCTAAACATAATGACCAAAACTGACAAGTTAATGTAAACGGATCACAACAATGAAAGAATTCAGATTCTTTTCAAGGGTACATGGAACATTTTCCAAAATTAACCATACTAGGGTCACAAAGCAAGCCTCAACAGAGTTCAAGGATTAAAAACTCCAGAGCATATTCTCTGACCACAGTGAAATTAAGATAGACATTAAGAACAGAAAGAGGGAAAAAAACCCTACAAAATCCAGCTAATTGAAAATTGAAAAACACACATCTAAATACCCCTAAGTAAAATTTTAAAATCCAATAGAAAGTATTTTAAAAATTGTTATCTGAATGTTAATAAAGGTACAAAATATCAACACTTATTGAATGCAACTAAAATAAATTATGGCAAAATGAAAAGTGTTAAATGCATATATTCACAAAGAAAAAGGCTTTAAACATCTATGATCTAAGTCAGCTTGAAAAGATAGAAAAAGAACAGCAAATCAAACCAAGAAAGCTTAAGGGAAGAAATTTAAAAGGTGGAAATTAATGAAACAGAAACAAAAAGACAATAAAAATAAAATCAGTAAAGACTAATAAATTTAATAAACCTCTAACAAGACTAATCAAGAAAACAGGAAGAAAAAAACACACAGAGTAACAATAGCAAGAATGGATAAGTGTATATAACACTATAGACTTCACAAGTATTAGAAAGTATTCAGATAACATTTTAAACATATTTTTCCCCAATAAATTTGACAAATAGGATAAAATGAAAAGTCTTACAAAATATAACTTACCAAACTGATACAAGAAGAAATAGAAAATCTGAATAATCCTCTATTTAGTCAACAGAGGTAATTATGTAAAATAATAATTTTAAAACTTTTTAAAAACTTAACACACACAAAACGCCAGGGCCAGATGGCTTTACTGGCAAATTCTTCCCAACATTTAAGGAATAAAGAACATCAATCTTAATAAATCTCATCATTTTATAAAGTCAGCATAATTTTGACACTAATATATAATAAGGATATTAGAGAAAAAGAAAATTATAGGCAGATTTTTTTATGAACATAGATTCAAAAAAATCCAAGCACACAAAGTACAATAGAATATGATGACATATTAAAAAGATAATATATCATGACCAAGTGGATTTTATTTCAGGAATACAGGGTTGACTTAATATTTGAAAATCAATCAATGTAATGTACCTCATTACAGAAGAAAATAGAAAACTTCTATCATCTTGATAGATGCAGAGAAAAAGCATCTAAGATTCAAAACCCATTTGTGTTTTTATAAAGAAGAAAACTCTTAGCATGCTGGGAATGGAAGGGAACTTCCTTAATTGGATTTTTAAAGCTGTAAAAACATACAGTAAATACTATGCTTATTGGTGAAATATTGATAGTTTATGCTTTTCTTTTTTTTCTTTCTTTTTTCTTTTTAGGTGAGCCACCCTGCCAACAGCTCAGCAGCAGCTCAGCTCAGGCCGGGCATTGAACTGCTGTTGCTCAGAGCTTCGCACTCTTGAGTGAGCTCTTAACCAACTGAGCCACTCAGCCAGCCCTTGCTTTTCTTTTTTTCAAACTGAAGTTTATTGGAGTGGACAATGGTTAGTAAAATTACATGGTGTACAATTCTGTAATACATCATCTATGTATTACATTGTGTGCTCACCACCCAGAGTCAGTTCTCCTTTCATCACCATATATTTGATCCCTTTTACCCTCATCTACTACTCCCCTCCCCCCTTACCCTCTGGTAACCACTAAACTATTGTTTGTGTCTATGAGTTTTTTTCTTTGTTTGTCTTGCTCATTGGTTGTTTTCAGTTTTATATCCCACATATTAGTGAAATCATATGGTTTTTGACGTTTTCTGTCTGACATATTTCACTTAGCATAATAATCTCAGGTTCCATCCATGTTGTTGAAAATGGCACTATTTCATCTTTTCTTATGGCAGAATAGTATTACACTGTGCTTATGATAGTTTATACTTTTATTTTGAGATTGAGAACAAGATATCGATGCTTACTATCACCATTTCTATTGGATATTTAATGTAGGTGCTATTATAATGTAGAATAAGGCCAGAAAAAGTTTTAAAATATATACATGAAGAATAGAAGACACTGAACTGTCATTAAGCATTTCAATATGATGGTATACATAAAAGATCATTTCTATAAGCCTGCAATAAACACATTTAAAAAATAAAATTAAAGTGTCATTAACATTAACATCACACAATGTCAAATACTTAGGAATAATTCCAGTGAAAGATGTGCTAGATCCTACACTGTAAACCATAACACATTGCTAAGAGAAATTAAAGAAGACCTAAAAAAACAAAGGGGGATAGAGAGGGATAGATCCACATTCACAGATGGGAAGATTCAATATTACGATGAAGTCAATTATTTTCCAGAATGATCTATAGACCCAATGCAATGTCAATCAAAATCCTAGCAGACTTTTTTGCAGCAATTAGCAGGCTGATTCTAAAATTGGTACGGAAATGTAAAGGGACAGGAATAGCCAAGG